GGCACCACTATTCTCCATCAGTATTCCTGGGAAATACATTTCCAATGAGGTAAAGTAGGAAGAAAGACGAATTACTGACTGGTGAGGAATGATCAAGGTTTAAATAAAGTCTAAAATCTATGCCAACAAAGAGGCAGGGGTATGTTTCTGTTTCTACCTAATTTATGGCAAGATCTTAGCAGACCACGTCTGGATTTCCCCATCTGGATTCACTTACTCTGCCTTGAGTTCCAAGAAGCTATAAAAGCTTAAAGGGCAGTTCAAGCATAAAGCAGTTTTCCAGACATACTGCAAGCAGTAAAGAGAATGAGTTTAGCCATCTGCTTGTTACGACAGGCAACACATGTACATTTTGAGGTGAAGATATCTTTATGTAAGGCTTTTTTTCATTGCTTAAGAAGAGTTAAGATCATATTCTATTCTCTTAAGTCTTTGTTCTAACTTTTTTTTTTTCTTTTTTCTTTTTTTTTTTGAGGCAGACTCTTCACTTATAATCTTTTGAACTACAGCAAAACAAAGAAACTTTTTTTTCTGTTAAAAGGAGTTGGAGCTTAACAAAAATGAATTGATGCTTTAAAGGTGGAATATGTCGAGGAGATCAATCTATCTGGCAGCAATGACTTCTGTTTTTTTTTTCCCTCTGTGAGGCTCCAGAGGTAAATAGCCAGTTTCAGGAAGGGCCTCGGCTTTGTGCTGGGTGGGGAGGAGCCAGGGCGCTCCCTGTGGTTGCTGTCACTGCCCCAGGTGCTGTCTCCCCACAGACCTTGGGACAGTGGCCAGGGTGTAGCCAGCCACCAACATCCAAAAAGGCAAAACATATTTGACCAGAGCAGGCAGCTGGGAAGAGGAGGGAGCCAAGAAGAAAGAAAAATAAAGGGAGAACGAAAAGGGAGAAAGAGCAGAAGCACGGGGGAGGGAAAGAGGTGCAGAACGAAGAAGAGAACAGAGGGCCGGCACCACTATTCTCCATCAGTATTCCTGGGAAATACATTTCCAATGAGGTAAAGTAGGAAGAAAGACGAATTACTGACTGGTGAGGAATGATCAAGGTTTAAATAAAGTCTAAAATCTATGCCAACAAAGAGGCAGGGGTATGTTTCTGTTTCTACCTAATTTATGGCAAGATCTTAGCAGACCACGTCTGGATTTCCCCATCTGGATTCACTTACTCTGCCTTGAGTTCCAAGAAGCTATAAAAGCTTAAAGGGCAGTTCAAGCATAAAGCAGTTTTCCAGACATACTGCAAGCAGTAAAGAGAATGAGTTTAGCCATCTGCTTGTTACGACAGGCAACACATGTACATTTTGAGGTGAAGATATCTTTATGTAAGGCTTTTTTTCATTGCTTAAGAAGAGTTAAGATCATATTCTATTCTCTTAAGTCTGTGTTCTAACTTTTCTTTTTTCTTTTAGAGTCAGGGCCTCGTTCTTTTGCTTAGGCTGGAGTGCAGTGATGCAACCATAGCTCAGTGCAGCCTCAACCTCCTGGGCTCAAGCAATCCTCCTGCCTCAGCCTCCCAAGTAGCTGGGACTACAGGTGTGTACCACCACACTGAGGTAATTTTTAAAAATTTTTAGAGATGGGGTTTCATTATGCTGCCCAGGTTGGTCTCAAATTCCTGGGCTCAAGAGAACCCCCCGCCCCAGCCTCATGAGTAGCTGAGATTTCAGACATGAGCCACCACGCCCAGTTTGTTTGAACTTTCCAGGACATCTTTCTACTCATTCTCCAAGTGTTCATATCTACCTGACACTCTGCAGAGTCTCTAGTCGCTTCCGATTTCTTTCCAGTTCTAATTTTCTCTTTTCAATTTTGGCTTCTAAATTAGCTTCATCAGAGGCCACATTATTGAGCAGGTCTTTAGTCTTCTGAACCTGTGTCTATATTTAATGGGAAATAATGAGACAAGGTGGCAATAAAAACAGCCATCCTAACTCACAGAAGAATTCTGCAACTCTTCAGGCATGGCAACATTATGCTCAACAAACACAAAAGCAAATAAATAAAGTAGACACTTCCCCAAGCAATGACTCACTTAACCCACTAGTTCCAGGGAGAATGTCACACAGGTCCAGAAAAAGTTATCTTTTTCTCCCCCATGAAAAGCAGGCATTTCTGCCCAGGGAAAGAAGTGAAGATGGAAAGAAGAGTGTCCTGGTCAAGGTGGAGAGGCCTGCCATCTTTTGTCTGGCTCACTCGGTTAGAACAAGGTACACATCAGTCTGGATGGTCAATCTGCCTTTTTATCATTCAGGCCATGCCCCTAGTTACAAACACCCGACTTACAGAATACACACACACCAAGTACTGCTAGAGGGGAGAGAAAGAAACAGCTGGTCCCAGCCCTAACCCACTGCCTGCTGGGACTGAGAGAAGGTCCCTCTTCCCTCTCCCTGGCAACAGAAGCTTGACTACAGACTAAAAATGAGAAGAAACCATGCTGAAGTCAGTACAAAAGCAGTTCCCGCAGTGGCACTGGCCACACTGACGTGCACCAGCTCGGGAAGGGGCCCAGAGCAACAGTCAGAGAGAGGCCCTTGGGCAACAGAGGCTGAGTAAAGAAGGGAAAGGGGACACGGGCCCACTGACAATGACACAAGTCTCCCTATCCTAAGAAAAGGTTCATTTGAGGCAGGTAGAGTGACAGGTAGCGCACTGTCTTCACATGCGTCTTGTCCAGTGGCCTGCCAGGTCACATGCCTGTGGTTCAGGCTCCAATCTCTTCATGAGGAATCTGGACTGCCACCCAGCTGAGCGTGGAACTGCCCCCCCAGGGTTCTGGCTTTCCAGCCCTGCATTAAGTTCCTGGTGGCCAAGGTGGGGCTTTCTCCTCCAGCACTTTGCCTACGTGTAGCATCCCGTAAAGGGGTTACTCTGTTTTCCTGCAAGTCTCTGAAAAGCTATGGGCTCCACAGAGAAATGGCCTAAGGAGCCCAGACACTCTCCACAACTCTCAGGGATGGTGTGTTTTGGAAGCAGCCACAGTTACTGACAATGCATTTATGGTCTGATTTTTTTGGTCTAAGTACACTGGCCATTTTTAAGATACTTTCATTAAAATAATCAAATCCTCATCATCCATTTGCTGCAAGTGCCTTAAAGCCCCCAGGAGAAATGTGAGTTCACCCTCACAGGAAGAAAGGTGGGTCTCCTTTCTAAACAACTTCAGTCAATGGCAACTATTTCCTTGAACCAAAGTCAAATTAAAACCTTGTACATTTATCCCACCTTAAACATATCTGTTCCTCAAACAAGAAAGATCCACAATGCAAAACAGCTGTGTAAACACAAACAATTTTTCCTGGTTTCTGAAATAAATGGCCTGTACTTCCTAACCCCTTTTAAGTACCCATGTTGTTGTTTTGGTTTAGTTTTTAGAATGATCAAACATCACAGATATTTTCTAACAATGAAAGGAGTCTTAAGAGATTTCTACCAAGAAATGAACCCTGTCCCCTCTTGGGTGTTCTACTTTTAACATATTAGTGCTAAGGGCACATTCATGCCATGTTCGCCTGATTCAGTTAGAACACTGGCAAGCATTTAGAGGTATAACACTTTTTTTTTAATTTTTAAATTTAGAAACAATCAAAAATTTACGTAAGACCTGTTGTACAACACAAAACGGTTTTCCCAGCCTAGGTAAGTTGCTGACCAGATGTTCCAACATCCTAGATACTTTAGTGTGTATTTCCTACAAATAAGGACTTTTTCCTACATCCCTACAATACAATCATCAAAACAGGAAGTCAGCACTGACACACTACCACCATCTAACCCCAGCCCCACTCCACTGTCCCCACTTGCCCCATGAAGTCCCCAACAGCAGACAGGAGCTGCCATATGTGTCCAGTCATCACATCTCCACAGCCTCCCTTAGTCTGAAATGCCCCCTCAGCTTTCCTTGACTTTCAGAACCTTTTCACTTTGGGAGCATACAGGCTGCTTAATCTGTAGAATGCCCCTCAATCTGGCTTTGTCTCATTAGAGTCAGATATGCATTGTTGGCAGGAATACTCAGAAGTGACTGCATCCTACCAGGCGTGCATCATTTTGATTTGTTCTACAACGATAATCTTCACTTTGATCACTTGATTAAGGGGGTGACTGACAGGCTTCTCCCTGAGAAGCGACTCTTTTCCCCTCTGTAATTAATAAGTACTCTGTGGGCTATGCACGGTGGCTCATGCCTGTAATCCTAGCACTTTGAGAGGTCAAGGTGGGCGGATAACCTGAAGTCAGGAGTTTGAAACAAGCCTGGCCAAACATGGCAGAACATTCTCACTAAAAAAAAAACAAGAGTTAGCTGGGTGTGGTGGCACATGCCTATAATTCCAGCTATTCGGGAGGTCGAGGCACAAGAATTGCTTGAAACCCAGGAGGCAGAGGTTGCAGTGGGCTGGATGGCGCCACTGGCACTCCAGCCTGGGCGACAAGAAGGCAAGACTTCGTCTCAAAATAAATAAAATAAAATAAAACAAAAATACTCAAGTAATTAGCCAGGTGGTGGTGGTGGTGTGCCCCAGTAATTCAGCTACTCGAAAGGCTAAGGCATGAGAATCACTTGAACCTCAGGGGCGGAGTTGCAGTGAGCTGAGGTTGTGCCATGCATCCAGCCTGGGTAACAGAGCGAGACTCTGTCTCAGAAAAAAAAAAAAAAAAAAAGTACTTTGTGGAAAGCTAATTGAAACTGTGTGAATGACCCCTGCTCCTCCTCAGCTTCCATATTCTTTTTTTTTTTTTTTGAGACAGAGTCTCGCTCTGTCGCCCAGGCTGGAGTGCGTGGCGCAATCTCGGGCTCAACTGCAAGGCTCGCGCTTCCCGGGTTCATGCATTCTCCTGCCTCAGCCTCCGAGTAGCTGGACTACAGGCGCCCGCGCACGCCCAGCTAATTTTTTGCTATTTTAGTAGAGACGGGGTTTACCGTGTTAGGCAGGATGGTTCTCGATCTCCTGACCCTGTGATCCGCCGCCTCGGCCTCACAAGTGCCGGGATTACAGGTGGAGCCACTGTGCCCGGCCTCATTTTTTTTGCCATGTGAGGACTCATGGTTTCCTATTTCATTCTATTATGCCATAAAATTAATTATTCTAACTTATTTTGATGCTTAAGTTGTCCTTACTTTGGCCAGGAGAGGCCCACTCAAGTTGACTTCTGCATGCTTGCAACAGCTCCCTTTCCTCCTTCGAGCTCTTCCTTACTTTCTTGTACTGCTCCTGCCCAACTCTGGAATCAGCCATTTACCCCTAAGAGTTCTGGTTCCTTTTGGTGGAGAATGGTATTAAGCCAGGTGCTAGGTGTGCTCAGAGCTAAGAAATGTATGAGTGTGGGTGTGTCTATGTGTATGTATACAAATAAAACATACTTATATACATATGTATGTAATTCCTTAAATGTACATATGTGGGAGGGAAGTGAGGTCTCCATGTGGGTTGCCACGATTTTAGTGGCCAGATCAGCAAGTGGTCCAGCCTCCTGTCTCGTGGGGGGTCTCTTGATGGGACCACACGACAGGTATGTACACCACTGGCCGACAACAGACAGGGGAAAAGGCCGGAGGTGCCTTTTCATATCTGAATTAGCTAGCAGGATGTCCAGTGCATGCGTTTCATTTGCCACCACTTATCGGAGTGTGGGCACCTGACAGGTCAGATATGGCATTTATAAGCCGGCATGCACCTGGCACCTAAGCCTCTTGTCCCCAGGCTTTCCATTTCCGGGTTTTCTTCCGCGAGGGTATGGCCAACCATAGGCAAGGCATGTGAGAGAGGAGAAAGCCAGGTGGCATTCGGCTGATAAGGAAGTGAATGGGGAAGAGAATTCTATTAATTTTAAGCAGTTAGATTGGAGCGTATGCGGTTCAGCTGCCTAATCTTTTTTTTTTTTTTTTTTGGGAGACAGGATCTTGCTTCTTTCGCCCAGGGCTTAGGGGTTGCAAGTGGCATGATTCTCCGCTCACTGCGGAAGGGGTCCGCTCCCCCCGCGGTTCAGCCCATTGTTCCTGCCTCAGGCCTCCCAGCGCTGGGGGATACAGCGGCCACCACCCTCGCGCTGGCTGTAGCATTTTGTTATATTTGCTTAGTAGAGGGCGGCTTCACTGTATTTAGCCAGGATTGGGTCTGCGGACTCTCCTGGACTGTGGATCGCTCCACCTCGGCACCTTCCAAAGTGTAGAATTACAGGCGGTCGAGCCACATACGCCGGGGCCCAATGCTAATCTTTACAGGTAAGGATTAAACATGCTACACTTAGGGGCCCAGGCCAGGGGTTCACGGCTTGTTATCCCAGCCTCGTTGGAGGCTGAGGAA